TCCCTGGAGCAGAGTCTGTCCTAACATTTGCAGACTCTCCAGATAGCACTGTCAGCACTTAGTAAATCTTTCAAGTAGTGATAAACTCAGTAAAAATTAGTAACGCTGCCACTTGTGTACAACAAAAAACATCATCTGGAGGCAGTTTTTGGAAGGATCAGCCCGTGGGCTTCCCAATTATACATCCCTCTCCAAATTATTGACTAGTGCTAAAGATACTGAACTCTGTACCTCCTGAGGGCTGCAATTATTAACTGTTTCATGTGAAATAACAGACACTAACAGATACCATATCTACAGGAGCATTCTGGACATCCAAACAGCAGCTATTAACAGTATAAGCTATGTGCATCACATCCTGCTTCTAATCAGTTTTTTACCATTGGCATGCTAGTACTGAAAAATGTTTGGTTTTGTTATGAAAAGGAGATACTGTCTCATAATGAGCACTGACACAAATGAGAATACAAGCATTAAGGCTCCTAAAAATAATGCTAGGCTGCTAAAAATAATGCTATGCTTCTATCGGTCAGTGCCCAGGCAAACCATGTCCACCTGAATGCTGCAGAAAATAAACAGTATAAAGAAATCATAATCTAAAGCCAAGTTATGAACACTGTCAATAAATGCAGGCTCTGTACATTTGAGGAATGAATGAGAAAACTGAACAGTTGGCTATATTTGTGCTAGCAAATCTGGTACTGGAAAAGCATGAAGCATTCCTAAAGGGAGGCAAAAGGGATAGGAGACAGCAGAGAAGGGCCAGCAAGGTGATGAGAAAATCACTTTGTATTCTTCACACAGGCCTCTCCATCAGTGGAATAGGTATGATGTACCTAGGTCCCCTATGGTTAGTAGAATGACTACAGACACAGCTACTGGGGCACTACTGGGTGTACAGGTAAAGCCTTGGAGCTCTTCGCAGGAGGAGCTTCATGACTGCCAAGGGTGGGAGGGAGGCTCAGTACAATGGCAGCAGAAGGGAAGGTTAGACTGCGAGGTTAGGAAAACTCTATCGACAAAGGTGAGAAACACACAATTAAATCAAGACCAAAGCAATTAAATCAAGGGTAAAACACAGCAAGAAAGGAAACAAAACATAAACATACTCTAGAACATAGGTTGTTTTGTTTTGCTGTGGGTTTTTTTTCTTTTTTTTTTTCTGTGGAGGAGATGGAGAAAAGGAAAGAGGGTGCGATCTGCCCAATCAGAACTGTCTTTTTTTTTCCATTTGTTTGCAATGAGAAAAGCAGATTTCTTAATGGCAACAATGAAAATGCCAGTGGGATAGCAATGCATAATTCCCACTCTACGGGTTGCACTACACATTTCCATCTTAGCAAGAAATGTGAGGTAGCTCAGAAACAACAATCCCAGAGTATATTTAGCTACTAAAACTGTGGCACACAAATGTCACATTCCCATGAGTCAACCCTTTTAAAGAACCCCCCTCTTTACACCCCCACAGATATTCCCCAAGATGCCTGCACTGAATTAAAAGTGAAGCATATGGATGGATGTGACATCATCAAAGCACCCGTGTTGCAGTCAGAAAAAGCAGCAAGTGTATTTTGTACTATTAGTACAATTGGTAACAATTATATGTATGGGAAAAGAAAAAGTAAACAGTGTCTGAAGGATTAGACAAACCAATGAAGAACACCACAAAGCACTTTGCAAAATGAAGAGAAAATGTTAAAAAGAAAAAGAAATGTTTTTTTTTTTTTTTCTGTGAATGTGCAAAAATAAAACACAGAAAAAGCGAAAACAAAACCTTGATAAAAGAATAGCAAGCTTAACATTTTCTGATTTAATTTTGTGCAAGAACTCTTTCCTTTGCCCTTTTAAAACAACTAATCAATAGTAATTTTAGAGCCGTCCAGCTTTGGCTCGGCAAGGCAAGGAGTGACAACACACAAGTAGATGGTAATGGCAAACAACCATGCGGTCACCTCTGCCGCCATTGTTTTGATTGCGTGTAGACTGCTTCCAGCTTTGTCAATATTAATAATTAGGCACTGAAGAATGCATGATATTTAAAGGACCTTGTCACGTGCTAATAGAGCACTTTGGTAACCATCAGTCCCTGAGGAGGGAGCTACTGAATTTCAGCCATCTCACCAGTCAGAGAATTGAAGCAAGTATTACTCAAACTCAACAGATGTACTTTTATTAATATTTTCAATGCATGCTCCTCTGAAAGCTGCTGCTGGCATACAAGATGCTTTTAAAAGACAGCTGTCCAGCTACTAAGCAGTGTTTTGCATAAGATTTGAAAAGTAAAAATCCACACATAACAAATAGTGGCATTAAAATGCATACACTTTTCTGTGTTCTTTTGGGTATGTAAGGGGCCGTGCCTTTCACTATTGCTGGATTCTGACCTACAACCCCTGACTGACACCAGCAGAAGGGCTGGGTGCAAGGATCTTTTCCTCCCTTCCTCACCAAGTCTGCCTAATGACATCTCAGGCAGGAGAAGAAAACCACCACTTACTTTCAAAGACAGAACACTATTTTCTAAGAAATATCCTCTCACTTCAAGCAGTTTGAATACCAGGTGTTACTGAGACTGGAAGAAAAAGGAAAAAAAAAAGAACTTTATTTCTTTGATTGTCAGCATTATCACTGATTTACTGCTCAGACAGAATGGAGAGGGAGGTAAATCACGTTGCCATCTCTAAAGAAAGTTTATCTGCTTTCCCTCTTCTACATATCCAACACCCAGAAATAACTTTTTCTAAACTGCCTTTCTGCAGCTGAAGAGCCAGGGCAGAGGAATAGGGTTCAGATTCAAAGAAATGAGGACAGTCTCGCAGACTGAACTTAAGTTTGAGAGTTTGGAATCTGACTTTTTATCTTCAACACCCACAGATGCTCCTCCTTCATATTATGGTTTTGAGTTGTAGCAAAGGAAGCTCCATTATTTTCACAGAGGCTCTGCAGTCTCTGCAGGGTGCAGAGGAGCTCTGTGCTTACCTTACAGGTAAGCCTGATTGTTCAAAAATTCACATTGTTTTTTCTTTAGATTTGCACTTAATCTCCCAGAATGTCTATAGAATCAAGCTTAGAAAAAAAAAATATCTGGGAATAGATTTTATAAAACTGAGCGGAAAGAAAAGAAGTAAATGGCAGTTTGTCTCTTTTTTTGCAGGAAAAGTGAATTGCTGGAAGGTGGGACACAAGTTCATATCTTCTGCTTGAGGGAATTGAGATCTTTGTGTTCCATTTCCTGCCATCAAGCCTAAACACCACGGCTACTAGATTAACGATCACCATGGCATCCCAGGAAAATTTACTGCATCTTCTGCTTAATTTCCAGTCTCCTCGGTTGGAAAACTGCTACAGGCTTTGTCTCTGCTGGGTCAGCCAGGTGATGCACAATGCCCCTGTGGCCAGGAGCTGCAAAAGCTCCGTGAGGAGTTCCATGAGAAATCCAGGACATCCCAGGACTGTTGGAGACGCTGTGTGTCTGGGGCTGCAGTGAACACCAGGCTCAGAGATCACAGTCCAGACCACCGTCAGCTGTTCCTGCAGCTGTGCTGAAAACTGAACTGTTTTCCAATGTTAACGTGCTCATTACTCCCTGTTGGAAGTTTCTGCAGTGACGCAGAGAACTCAGGACTCAGTGGGTTAGACAGAGGGAAGGAATATGATTTAGTAACCTACTAGTTTGGGCTGACAATTCAAAGCAGTAGGTCTGGCATGCCAGTAGCCTCTCCAGGAACAGCTGATGCTTTCATCTAATGAGTTTTTCATGTAAAATGCATGAACAATAGAGACTGGAATCCACATTTCAATTAATATTTTAAGTGTTTTTTATAAAGTATTCATAGTAGAAAGGCCTGAAGCTCATGTGTGCTTCTGCTCCCGGTGAGTGCCCTAACCACACAGCAAGTGAGTTTTGCTTATACCCATCCTCCTCCTGGTCCACTGAGTACTTAATTAGTGCATACAGAGTGAAACATCTTGGGCAGAGAAGAAATTGAAAGAAGAGATCTAAGAACACCCTGGAGAAGAATAACAAAGACTCAAATCTCTCTAGGTAGAGGAGATATTTGAACCTAGGCCCCCTATTTACAAAGGCACCATTTTAACCTCATTCAGATAGGAATGGGAAGCAGTGGGAAGAACTTTGGAGGGCCATGACGGAATTACGAGGCACCACCATGCTCACTCAGAAGAAAAGCTTCTCTTTCACTAAGCAGGTTCAAGTGGCAAGCTGAAGCAACTCTCTGCTTAATACTTTATATGCACAGCAAAGTGGGATTAGAGGCCAAACAACAGGGCTGGCCCTTGTCTCAGGCACAATGGTGCTTCAGCACAGGGCTGAACATGGAATAATAAACCTAAAGCAAAGCACCATTTTGGGCTTTAAAAACACAACAGAGAAATGCTCTTCACCAGCAACCACCCAAGTATCTTTTGAAAATCACTAATGATGATCTCAAAGGTGTTTCATTTCATGCTCAGCTCCCACTGAAGACGGTGGGACTATGGGTCCAGTGGCTAGGACCAGTGTCAGCAAAACTCCACCAGTTAAACAGGCACAGACCTCAGAGCTTCAGTACCTCTGATGGCCAAAGAGAGATGGAAATAATGTGAAATTAAGCTGAGGCCTGCTGTGCTTCCCCAGGAATTCAGGAAAAAAGACAGTATGAAAATACACCCTTAGGAACAATGGCAAGCTGTGCATCTCCCTTTGACAGACAGTGAGGAAGATCAAGTTTAAAGAGAGCTAAGTCCCCATTGTTTCCCATGCACTGGCACAATACACACAGCAAAGACACACATTTCTATTTGTTTTGTGTGGTTTCCTCAGGGAGTGAATTATCTAGGACTGAGTTTGAGATTGGCTGTTTAGTTTCAGACTTTACGATAAGCTTTTAATTATAGCACAGGAGTTTTATTACATGTTGCTCAGAGCCAGCTGGAAGCACTTACACTTCAGTCCTCCCCCCCTCCCTCCTCACCACAGGAAGTCATTTCTAAGGCCTTACCCTTCTTGTCTTGATGATTATGGGATGAAACTGCCACATATGGATCTGTATTTTCGGATGAACCAAGCGGATCCTTCCAATCCAGCATGCGTCCCCTAGCATCATAACCCTGTCGAGCCCAAGAGTCGGAAGAGGTGGTGCTTGGAACTAGTGAACTGGAATGTCCTGTTACATTATAAATACAGGTAGGGAAGACAAGGCTCAATTAGTCACTTACCACTCCACCTTATGCTCAGGAGCACAAACTTTGATCTTCCTCATGTGTGAACCTCTTAGGCTGAGCAAGGCTTCAAAGTCCTTGCAAAGCACTGCCCAAGGAAGCACAGAATTTGGACCTTCCCCAGTGGCCAGTCTGATAATGTCAATGACTGTGCATATTCAGTTGGCTGCAGCTTAGTTCGTGGTTGTTTTTTTGCCCAGCAGTGTTAAAGGTATGCAGAGCATCATGAGGATGCTTTGCTTTAGTCAGACATCCTTTGGCTGGATTCTGCACATGAGCTTGTACAATGCCAGAGTGCCAGTTCACACTGGCTGGTAGTGGCTTAGGTTGAAAAGCAGCTTCAGAGACAACTTAAGCATTAAAATGGAACAACTTCAAGCATGGCCCAAACCAGAGAGGTATGCCAGAAAAGCTGCAACATAGATGTTCGCTAAGGGAACAAGAGGCTGCCCAGAAGTAGCACACTGGTGCTGGGGCATCAGACTCAGGGCGGGGCTGGAAGATGTGCTGGGTTCATGCCCACTTGCACCATCGCCACTGGTATCGTCTGAGCTGGCGTTGTAAAAGAGGTAAGGACTGCTAGCATGAAGCTGCACATTATTTCTCAAATTAACAATGAAGAAAAGAGCTTACTATATAAAACTGGCAAAGAACCCATAACTACTACGGTCTCCACATCTCACTTGGCTGGTAGACCTGTTAGGACAGAGGCATGGCATTGCTCGCTTGCTGTAAGCCCCTTTGAATGCCTGCATGCTCATTCTGAAGAAAATTTAGGATGTGATCTGCTTTGCATTTGTCACGTAGGCTGCTGGAGGTCAGCACACACCTCTAGACCAGAAGAGAGGATTACAGTCCAGCGATGATGAGTTTTACATCTGCTCTAGACATTGTTATGGCTGAAAATGGCTGAGAAATTCCTCACTGTTTGAATAGATCCTAACAAACAGCACACAAATAGGACACAAGCTGCTGTAGGCACCAAACAGCATTAACACTGGTTTGGCTGGGGCATAAATATATTTGCATCTTTGTAAACTTGATCCCAAGAAGTAGGTCAGCACCCAAAATGCAACGTGCTTGAAGTTTATGGTCTCTGAATGCTGGCTCTAACCAAGATGTCTCAGTGGCTTGTTTGCTCCTTGGCTCCTGGGAAAGAGGGCATTGAAACTCCCTCCACACCACATTTTGACTTTAAAATCACTTGCTTCTGAGAGTTCCCTTTCACTACGTGCACCAAAATGTCTTATCTTCAACAGGACTCAAACTGCTTCTGTCCTTGATATGGAATAACTCAATATTCCCTTACCTGCTTTCCTGAAAGAGTAGAATCAGATCATTCAGACAAAAAGGCAGATAATATCTTTTTAGATTACACTGGACAGACAAAGCGTAGTCCTCCATTCTCCTGCCTCCTTTGTAATAGCCTAGCAACCTAAATTAGATTTCAGTCCTCTCCATGGGGAGGAGGCCAGTCGCCAGACTACTGACTGTTCTAGCAAGGACTCTTCCCCTCTCCTTCACCAAATATTACAGTTCTCAGAAAAAGCATTTGAGTTTGGGGCAGAAGTACACAAGGAGCCCAAATTTGGAGCTGAGTTTACAGAGCTTGAAGAGAGGAAATTGTGCTTGTCATTTTTAAATCATCACTGGACACACATAAAGCTTCACGATGCTGTACCTTGAAAAGGCTGCTTTAGGTGGATTTTCCATCGGTGCTTCAGCTCATGCTCTCAGAGCCATGTGCACAGAGAGCTAATGAATCTAAGGTTCCCAATTCTCTTCTAGCCATCAGAAACCTAAATCTTGGACACCAGTGTGTCCAAGTTTTGATGCAAGCATGCACTTCACTTTATCTAGACCTTTTAACAGCTTTGTGAGGCTAAAATGTTGATGAAATCAACAAAAAAATCTGTGGCATCTGCTAGGATGCTGCTGTGATTTAAAAGATGTCCTGGTGAATACTAATGATTTTGAAAGGCAAGAAAATACCTGTAGCTCCTCTGCATAATTTTGAGGAGCACTTTTGAATTGCTACACACTTCAAACAGGACATGGACAGAACAAACTCCTGCAACTATTATGCTTTGCAGCGAAAGTTGGCCGATTCAGTATTCTCACCATTGAGTCTACCTTCAGATACCATAGCAAATCATAAACATGATTAATTGGGCATTGGACCTCAGTCTGAAGGCTTATGTTGACAAGGGAACTGTTCTACTTTCTATCTCTTGTGGTAGGAAGTGTGTTCTCTCTAGCCGTCTTTCTTTAACAGCAAATCAGAGGCTGCATTTTGTTGAAAACTGAGCTTTAATTTTGCTTAAATAGGAAAGAGAACCCAAATATTATCCACTTTTAAAGGTTCCTATAAGCCACAGCATAGCTGGAAACACTGATAAACCAGCTAGATGGATGACAGACCGTGATCCAAACTTTATGCTTGCATCACCGAAGGTCTGCAGGGCTGCCTGTTTCCAAGAAGACAGGTAGAGGCCCCATGGGCTGAAAACACTTGCCCTTCTGAAGCAAGGAAATGCTGGAGCGTGAAAGCTTTCACTTCTACACCATTTCACGCTTGTCAGTTCCTGTGCTCATTCCCAAGAAAGAAGAAGAACAATGGGACAGAGAACAGGCCAGAAAACGGCTATGAGATTTCCTTGTCTTCTTTTTCCTAAGGACTAAGTCACATCTCCAAAATAATACCCCATTAAATGACCACAATAATGTGTACAGTATATCAGCCTACAAATAACACTGCACTCAACATGAGAAAGCAATTAATCAGAGCTGGATATAGAGGTAGAAGAAAATCTTGCCAAGTAGCAATCATGTTTTAATACCTGTCTTTGATATGCATTTTTATGCCTATTTTAGATGTGTTTGAGGGTCAATTTTAAGAAAAAGCTGTAAATATGTTTAAAGAAAAACATTTCTTAATACAGCAATCTAGAGGAAATACATGCCCAAGGGACACATTTTCAAAAAAAAAAAAATCCTCAACCATATGCTGCAAATACATGGAGAATTTCTTAGTAATGGAAAGCTAAAGCTTTGTGAAGACACTAATGTGTGCCAGATGGTAGTTAGGTAGTGAAGGGTTTCACACAAGCGGAGAAAATCAGTCTCTTTGCTCTGTTACTAATGTGCAAGTATAGTACACACTGAGAAACAATCCTCCACGTGAAATCAAGATAAACTTTCTTCCATTTGGTAGAAGCAGGGAAGGAGCAGATTAAGCTTAACAACTTTCCTTACCGGAGCAATATCTGCGTTCTGGAAGCGTTTACTACTGGGCAGTGCTACCATGCTGGATACCGTAAGCAGTATCACTGAGTCTCGTAAGCAGTCAGTCCCACTGGGTGAATTTCACCTTTGAACCGAGCGGCACCACAGATGTATTAGGTAGTTAAGTTTCTCTCATAAACAGAGAAAAGACTGGAGTGGCAGGCAGTGTACTCCTAGCCCTTTCACATTCAGTCACTATTAAGCCTTTACAGTGTACTGTATAGTTTGCAACACTGAGAGGATCTTGTTTTCCTTTTTCCCATCGCACCATTTGTACCACTCTGACTGTGTAAACTGGTTTTGCTACAGTTTTAAGAGTCTTTCCCTCTATAGCCAGCATCTCTATGGCTGGTACCTCTATGTTAGTATTAGCTAGAGTTTCTTATATATAAAACCACAATCCCGCCTTTGTTTTAAAACAATCCATCTGAAAACTGCAGAGATGGTCCTTTTCAAACCGCTTTGTTCAGAGGAAATATTCAAAACTCAAAATAGACACACTTCAAAAAAGATCTGTTTTAGGTTGCTTCCACTGTTTGCAAAAACTCTCCATTTGGAGTGCTGTAACCAAGCATAAAACCATAGAACCAGCATAAAAGCTCCTAAGATCTACAGGCATGGGTAATGATTCAACAGGGCTGTGCTTTTATAACTACAGCTCAATTGGAAGTGCACTTGTAAAACAGAAAGAGATTTTTTCAGCTTTAAAACAAAGACAGGGATTCAATACGCATTTGATGGTTGCTCTAATATGCACAAGTCATTAGGTTCTCAGAGGTTAAGACGTCTGCACACTATTCTATTAACAACTATAGCAACCTAATTAGACAATTAGTAGGAAAGGCTAAATCAATACTACAAAGAGAATAAGGGATATGGCTAGGGGGTAAGATAAGGGCCCAATTCACTAAGAACTGAATGTTTCCAACGATAATTGAAGCTGCTTACAATTTTATGGAAGAATCTAGGCTAATCTCTTTGTTTAAACATGCGTCTCTTTCACCATTCTTCTCTGACCTTCTGCAGCATATCTTCAGCCTGCTATCTTCTTCTTGAGTGTCAAAAAAGATATAATTGAACAGCCACCTGAGCGGGCTTTGTAGTTTCTTACTTGTTTACAACCGACCATGGGAGACTGCCCTAGAAAAAGGATCCCACCTGCCAAATTCAGGAAGAGGCTAATGTCAGGAATACAGCAATAAAGGGCTTGATTCTCCCTTCAGTTACACTGCTACAGATAGGCAGTAAGTCCACCAAAGCGTGATGATTTGTGGTGGTGTAAATCAGCTGAAAGAGGTAATCAAGCTGTAAGACTTTTTTGCACCTGGAGCTTCAGATGCCTTTGGATATATTTAACCCAGCAGAAGCACTCTAAGCATTCGCTTGATTGGCATCCTGACATATCGCAGTTCTGAGGTTTAATCTGAAATACCATTTAGTTACATATTTAACAGTAAAAGGCACCATTTATAAAATTTTAGTTTCCTCAAGAAAACAAAATATCACTCAGAGCAGATGTAATATTTAGCAAACGTGAGCATGTCTACCTAGACTGGTTGACTGTCTAGTGCTGGACTTCTTTACGCTCCTCATGTGGAAGATCAACAGAAGTGACAAGCTCTTTCAGTATTTTGTCCTCATAAGTGAAAAGAAAGACTGACTGCAGAAATAGCAGTATTTCAACTGGACCCACAATGGGAAGAGCTGTATCGCTTACTGACTGTGGATCAGGATCTACCTGTGAAGAGTCACTGAAAAAATCTGCGAAAGATGCCACGAATGGGAATCAAGGTTCATGTTGGGTCATCATTTTCAACTCACATTTGGCAGTGGGATCCTATCTTATCAGCTGGATTCATTCATGTAAGGACAGTAGACTGGACTTCTTTTGTAACCCATGTTACCTAGGACTGCAGCTTTTTTTCACTTTGTCACTCATTTGAACCATTTTTTTCCTGCTTTCTCAGTCAAACCAAAATATCAACTTTGGATGAAGTCTGTACTGATATGGTAGCTGATGGGATACAAGTTTGCTGCCTACAGCTATAACTGTGCAGCCTTCAAGCATAGTAGCAAAAATGCTAAGACACTTCTGGCATATTAACAATGGGCTCAAGGTCATTTTCTTTTCCTTTAGATTCAGCAGTATGGATTTTATTATTACTACTTGTTCTTTAATTACTGCTCTGTGCCTTGGTTATATACCAATTTCAACAGCAAGCTGTATGTGCAGACGAAACAATCAGTCTTTCACGCATTATGAAGTCTCAGCTTGCCTTTGATTTTGTATATTTCCCTAATTGGTTTTCATTATCATACTTGCAAACAAGCTTCACTTGCACATTTTCTATTTCCTGACTAAAAACAACATGGGAAATTTTATTTATTTCTTTATTTTAAATGCTGAACAGTACTGGTGTACCTCCAGTTATTTACATTCTGCTGCACTGAGTTATCATTGGTTCTGTTTGTACCTACATATTTTGCATGCATGAGGTGAAGGGATCGATCTAATGTGCATCATCACAATTTCAAACTAGTCTACCTCTATTTATGTTCTAAACATATAGTTATTTTGCCCCAGCTCTAATGAACATTTAGTCTTGAACAGCCTGGAAGTAATGTCACAAGTAAGTTCTCATCCCACGTGGAAATTCACCATTGACTTCATTGCGAACAACATCACACATCCTTGTGAGCACTTGTCATTGTTAAGGAGAAGCTATTGCAAGATGAATCTAGGTTTGAATTTGATTTCATCATTTACTCTTCAGTAATTCCTCCAGAAGACACTTTGCACTCCCAGTGCCAATGTAATCCACTTTCAAACAAAGAACAAAGTGGTGCAAAGAACTGCAACTGCAGATTAACAGCTGCCTGGAGGGAAACTGCTACCCTAAGCTGGCAGAAATGCTTCTTTTCAGCTTTGATCACCTAATTTGTTGTGCAAATTCCATTTTTTACAGACCAGGCACCATGGAGTATTGTGATACTGCAAGAACGGATAACATAAATGATTCACTGCAGAAGTGACCGAAACTTTCTTAACTCAGGGTGTAACCCAATCTCAACTGACATGGGTAATGATTAATTTTTCTTAAGAGAGGTCTCTCTATCGCCCAGGGACAGTTCTGATCCTTTCCCAAAGCTATCGTTGACTAGCTGCTGGAGCAGTCGTGATACCAGCCTGAATACCTCATGAGTGGGATGTGAGCTATCTTGTTTTTCCCAGGGAACAGATAATATGCATCACTGTATCCAAGTCTTTCTTTGTCTGTGTATTCAGATGAAGCAAGCTCTTAATCATGCCTGCTAGAGTGCCAGTAAAATAAACCATCTTAAGCAGTTTTGAGAGAGGACTAGAAAAGAGGGAATGCAAATGAAGAGGCATTACTTATTTTCACTTGTGATTAGTGAATTAGGCCCTCAGATGGAAGACAAAACAAATAAGAAAAGGTTATTGGCTCTTTGACTAGAGGAACTACTGGTTAACACAAGGTTCCAGGGAGACTTCTTAAAAAACACCCATAAACTGACCATACACTGTGTTGTAAGACATTTCATGATCAGGTGAAGCAGTTGAAATGTCTATGAACAAAATAAATTGGGAAAAAAAACAAAACAAAACATTAAGTAAGACAAAAAATATGAAAATACTTAAAAGTTAAGTAAAAAGTAATTCCTCCAAAATGGATTTGCTGTCAGTAAATAAAAAAACTATGAACTTTCTTACCATTCAGGGCTACGAAGGAATCTGAAAGACAAATAACAGGGAAAAAAAGTCATTATTTCTCTTTCACTTTTTTCCTTTTTAGTACTTTACTGCTAGCAATCTTTTATGCTTCAGCTGATATCTGTATGCATGTGATTATTACACCAAGAACCTGTGCAAAATGAGTATTCAGAAATGCCTGAAAACAACACCTGACTTTAAACGCATTCATGGCTGGACCCACACAAGTAACACCAAACAGGAAGCCCAGCTTTCTCCCTGGCATGCTTTTTTTTTTTCTTTTTCTTTTTTTTGGCAAGGTCAAGTCCCGTTCCAGTGTAAGGCACCATAAATGATGCAGCCAGTATCATGAGTTGATGAGGACAAAACTCACATGATCCAAGACCTCATGAAGTAGTAAAACCAGCCAGATGAACATCCACCCTTGTGCAATGTCAAGGTTCGGTGTACCATTTAGAGCTAAAGAGCTATTTAAGCAGGGTATTTGCTCTTTGCTAGCTGCACAGGGATCTTTCTCCATGAGCACAACTTGCCCTTTCTAAATCACTTCTTCCCCTTTCATGTGCAGCTGATGTCCGATGGACTCCACTGCTGTCTAACCTATTTGCCCAAGAAGAGCAGAAATAAATTGATAGTTGAAAAGGTCTAAGTTGTACCAGCTGGGAAATGACCTAGTTTTGGTGCTATACTGTTTCACAGGAAGGACAAGAAGGATTGTGTGTATACCTCCTTCAAAAAACTTAGAGACAGTGTAAGTGACCCTGTCTTAGGGGACAGGCAGAGGGAGGTGTAGCTGAGACAAAGGCATGTAGTGGCGGAAATCCTTGTAAAGCCACAAGCACAATTACGACAGTAGTAACTGAGGCTTGAACAAGGACAGGTTCTTTGTTCAGTACTTGTAAGCATTTCAGTGCCAAACATAAATGTTTATGCTTCCAGCTCTTGCTGTCAGTACGTAAGGTTTATCATCAAAATTTCTTAGGCAGAAACAGTGGTGCTTGACTCTTAACATTGCCACGTTTTCCAGCCTATGTGTAAAATTCACTAATATTCACAAGCACAGCAACTCCCACGTACTGATTCAGAACAAAAGCTGAAGATATATTTCACTGTCTTCCTGATCTGCATAGGAGTGCAATTCAAGTCACAGTCTACACCAAAAAACCAAGCTCCTTCTTCACATCTGCATAAACAACCCAGCCACCATGACTGATAGAGACAATGAACAGCCAATTCATTATTTCGTTGCTGTGATCAATATCCTCTAGAACAGAAGTCTTCTCATTATATGAAGTCCAGAGTTTGAATAAATCACACCAACTGGGCTATTTAAATACATCTAAACAACAGTTTCATTTCTGTCATCTTTAACTTCATCTGCATCTGCATCTTTAACTTCAGTTGCAATCCCTGCTGTGGCTTACACTGCTATAAAGGAACGTCCAATGTCTAACTGGTAATGGTGATTTTATGGCATTCAGAAAGATGCTGGTACACATGGTAAAAAGAAGGCAAAAGCTTTGCTTACTTTGGCAGTCCCCCAGGCCATCTGTATTGCCATGTTCTACGTCCTGCTCAAACACCAGCCTAAATAATAGAAAGAAACATAACAGCATGAGTAACAACTGTCACAGGACTACCGGAAAAAAAACTGTCGCATCTGCAGCTGAAATAAAGACACATCATGAAACTGGACATTTCTTTGAATCTTTCGTACAGTGTAAAAAAAAAACAACAACACACAAACAAACTGGAAACTTAGGCCTTCAAATTGTTTGTCATCAGGAAGTGATTCCTCGGCTTCTTCTATGAAAACCCACTGTGTCTCTTTTTGTCAAGGAAGGCAAACATTCATATCTTTTTAAATTGTTAACCATAAAAAAAATGACACTGTCAGGAGCAATTATGATCCTACCTTGACTTGTCCATACAGCACCAATACTTTGACATAAGAAGGAAGCTAACCTACGAGTTAGGTACTGTGCTGGGGCAACATAATCTGCATTTTCAAAATTATTTAAGTATTGCAGGTTGCAGGTCATAAGGTCCAGAGACCACAAAGTGAATTACAATGAATCTAAGGGCCTCGACTGATAAATATGTATAGGCTTTCCTAGCTGGCATGCCCAACTTAGGCTTTTAACCTGTGCCAGACATTTTGTGAAGCTGCTTTTCCAAGTTCCAAATATGGTAAAAGAGGAGTGCAAGAACCTTGGAAAACCTCCAGTACAAGCTTTTGTCTACATCAGTTAGGATCTTGCTGTTGAGGCATAATTATCCCTGCATACACACAATTCCCAGAACTGTGTTCTTAAAACTCCTGCTCAACTGTCACCTACTCCAGGAAGGCACCTGTTGTCTTGCTGGATAATTCAGAAGTTCAACTGACATCTGAAAGTTGATCTGCACCTTCTTCCTAAGTGCTGTGCATTGGTAGAGAGTGACATGCCTTGCTCACCTGCAGACTGAACCACTACGAGTTATACTGCCTCTGTCTCACAGAATCACAGTTCAGGGGCTGGAAGAGACCTCAGAAGATCATTTAGTCCAACCCCATGCTAGACCAGCATCCCTGGAACAGCTTGCAAAAGAGTCCCGGTGGGTTTTTAAATACTTCCAGTGAAGGAGACTCCATAACCTCTCTGGGCAGCCTGTTCTAGTGCTATGTCACCCTCAAATAAGTTTTCTTCTCATGGTCAGATGAAACTTTTCATAAAGCAGAAGAGCCACTTTTGATGGTAAGGTGTATAAGCCCCCTAAAACTTGTCCTGGCCAAGAGCAGAAGTCTCAAGTACTCCAAGAATGCTGAGAAACCCTTATATGCACAGAAGTGCACTTTAATGTTATTCTACAAAATGACCAGTTCCCACTTCTGTGATAAAGTATATTCAGACAGATAAAGCTACAATATCCACAATGGACGAAATAACTGGAATTTAAACAGCTAATTAAGACCATGGAATAAACAAAGGAATGATAATTCATCCAGTACAGAAGTAGGCTTAAGTTGGATTGGCTGTGAGGCTGCTGTGGTTGTGCGATGCTTGTGCTACACTGGAGTTAAGCTGTATTTTCAGAGTGTCAGATGTAGCCAAGGAATATGATGTTTGAAACAGATCTGCTCTCTATAAGGAGACTTAGGTAATCGTATTTAAACAAAACTTCACAGAGTTTCTATTATTATTAAATAATTAAATTCTACTGTTAAGCAAGGGGAAATCCAGCCCTTCTCTGAATCTACTTCAAGCTTTTTCTGTGTCCTGTGATTCCTCTTAGTAATGCACAGTAAATTAGAAGGACTGGTTTTGTTTCCAGTGGACAAATTGCTACAGTAATCTGATTTGGATTCTATTGCCTCTTTAATCAGCTGTGATGGCTCCAGTGTGGGCTGGTCCAGACACAGCCATCCCTCTTTTCAACAACACGTGGGCTTTAGCACAGCTCTTTCATTTTCTTCTTCCTCTTCTTTCAGCAGTTACCACTCAGCTGAGAGTTTACACCAAAAAAAAAAAAATAATCGTGAGAAATTTCAGAGAATGCAAACCGGGCAGGAACAAACACTTCACACATTTTTCTTCCCCGAGAGCCCCACATTTCAAAAAGCTCAGTCCAAGTCCCCCTGGCGCCACTGCCACTGCCTCGTACTTTTCCAGCAGGAGTCATTACTCACTTAGCACCAAGGACCAGCTGTGTGCATGCCCCACTCTCCTTCACCCAGCCGCAGTAGGGGTCTCTGGATGCTATGCAGGCCCTTGAGAAAAAAGCAGAGGAAGCATTTTGGATTGCTCTCATGCCTGGCACGCAGGCTTCTGACAAGAGATTAAGTGCTGGCCAAAGTACGTACTTTTTGCATTTGCCATGACGCTCACACCGCCCCAGGGGAACCTTGATGACACAGGTGGAGAAGGCAACGTAAAGGGCGCTGCTGGGTTTGTCAAGCTGCATGGCCACAATACGCTTGTCTTCCATGCCATCGTAACTGCACCTGATTTGACACAGTGAGAAACAGTCACAAAAGAGTTCTGCTGGGAAACCAGATGAAAAAACTGATGGTTCCTCAATCAAAGGAAACAATGACCAGAAACAGAACCTGAACAAGACAAGGTGAAAGAATAAACAGCCACTAAAAACACTAATAAAAAGACATACAACTAAGTATTAAAGGGCATGGTTCAAGGGAAGGAGAGGTGGAGAGAGACTGCAAACCAGACATGCTTTCTAAGAGCCCTTCAGTTTTTAAGTTTATTCTTCTCCAGCACTCAAAGTAATTGAAATTTCTGCATGCTTATGGCCCACTTCAGTGTCCCTTCAGGCATATTTAAGGAAGGTTAAAATGCCAGAAATTTCCCTTAGAGATTATCTTGCTGGTTGATGAGTTATTTGGAGAGGAATCGTGCTTTTTATAGGATTAGAAAAATCTTCCTCTGCAGAATTTCTTTCAATTATCTGTCAACTGCTGCATAGGATAGGCTATTGTCTGTACATACTGGGTGAAAAATATTTTATTTCAATGTAGAGGCTGATAACCAGACATCCCTCCAAACAATTTAAAACTACTCAAAAAAACTTGGCTTCTCTACCTACTTCCCTTTTCGTGGGACAACTTGCTGTCCGGGAAATCAGAAGTGTCAAAAGTTACCCATACACGAGTAAAAAGAATCAGATACACACTTTTCAGGATTGTAGATGTTCATCTCCTCCAGGAAAAGGCTGTCATTTAGGAAACCGCTGTTTCCTGTCCGTGCCAAGAACTTCAGGATGATTCCCTTCTCTGATCCCAAGAAAACCACAGTGTAGTTCTTATATGGCCCAGCAGCAGAATCGACAGCAATTTTGGTCAGGCGGTATCTGGAATAACAATACAGCATCTTGCATCACAGGGATTAGACTGCTGCTTATTTTATCACTTTTTCCACTTAAAATATCTGTGAGACAGCCTTTGGGAGATCATATAACATATTTAAGCACTTTTTCTAGTTGAATAACCCTGTAAGTCAACACAGACTGCACCAGTTTGGCTGCCCAAATGGTAGGGAATTTCCATGTGCTTGTGTGCATGTCCAGATGTCAGTTAGCAAACATATCTGCAGCAGCAAACCTCAAGCAGAAGGCTGGAGAACTGTTGAGAGGCTGAGGCAATTTAGGAATTATCCTTCCAAACAAAAGCAAAGTACCAGCTTGATGTCTTCTACAGGCAGGGAAAGAAAATCAGCATTGTGATTTTTGTTTTAAATTTTTTAATTTCAAGCTCCACCACATTAAGAAGAGGAATAACTATAATGGATCTCCATTCAATTTTTTTTTTGTCAGGAAAAGTTGTGTTAGTGCAATGCTGAGAAGCTAAATTTCATTTTCTTTGACTAAAAATAATCACGTAGCAACCACTAACCGATTGTACTGCCAAAATGGTATCTAACTATGGGATCACAGAATTTATTGAGAGTGAGTGCTGGTGATTTGATACCACTGGTTACCTGGTACTGGAAGTCAAAAAAAGGCACTGTGCAGAGCATGTTGCTCTCACCTTTCGCCAGACACAGATAACTAAAATGCAGCATGGCAATATCGCATGGCAATGCAGCTGGGTAATATTGCATCAGGGCTTTGTGAACCCCATTTCTGTATTGAAGTCTTGATACAAAATTCCACCCTTGTACAGAGGAAGAGAGGAAAATAGGGCAAATTTTTTCGAATTACTCCATTTACAACTGAATGGTAGGTAAGTAGTTTAGTGATCACAGCATGACATGGGAACGTAATTACAGAGGGAGAGTATGGAGTATTTGAGGCTTGCTGATTTATGAGTCTTGGTTCAAATCTCCTCTTCATTATTTTTCTGTTGTAATAGAAAGGATACAGATTTTGTGGTTAGTTTTCACTGTACACTTCTCTAAACAGTAATACATACCAGTATATAACAGAACAGACATCTTCATATCCTGTGAACATATCCTGGCAGGCGTGCTTGTATCCTGTATACGTATCCCTGGGCTATCTGTTGATCCTTGCCTGAAGTTTTCTACAGAGCTGTCTCAAACACTGACCCATAAGCCAAGAGGGAGGTCAACCTTCCCTGCACTGCATTTCCTCCACAATCCAGTTTTACCACAGAGTACTTGGAAAGGATTAAGTGTTTTTCCTATCTTGGGAGCTGCTCAGGGAGTTCTACAGCATCTGCTCAGCACTACCATCTTTCCTACCTGGAGTCATGCCCAGCATACCATGGGTGTCTACAGCATTTGAGAGTATTGTAAACAAGACCATTAGCACAACCTGACAGCCACAACTGGAGGAAGAGTCCAATTGGTGGTACTTACCTGACCATCGTTCTCAGGAACCAGGGTCGATTGACAATGGAAGGTACAGCCTCATCCATCAGTGGGTGTGTTTTGATGAAGTTCAGAGTATCATCTGGGAACTCACTAGAGGATGAGTATTTTTCTAATGATGTAGAACCAGCACAACAACCTGGTCTAAATAAAACAAGAACGTAAAGTGAGAACACTTGCTTGAAACATGTGTAAATCTCCTTTCTGTAACAACTGTCATGACACCCTCAGTGAAATCTGGAGTGCATTGCAAGCGTTTAAATGAAGGATTGAGAAGTATGTTGGGCGTGTTCTGACCCTCAGGGAAACCCCAGACCCTGCTCTAACTGCCACTCAAAGGTACTTCCAAGATGCACCTAAAAGCACAAACACACTTTTTTAGCAGGAGTTTGAAACACATGGATTTTAGTCTATTCACTCACATGGAGCCTAGCTACTGTTTGTTTGTATTTGACTTGATGCTGTTCACTGGCATAGATGTTCTCTGATCTGTATCTTGCCTACCTGACTGTTCTTCCATAAAATAAAATTAGTCTTTAGCATACAGAGCGAAATCGCTTTTATAAAATGGGTGGAAGGATGCTGCCTTCAATATTGTCTGGTAGAAAAAGGTCTTGAAGAACAAAACCCAGCAAACACCCATGTGAGCATCGGTTTTATCCTTTAAGTAGGTCTGGACAAGAGAACTTAAGTGTTTGAGCACATGAAGGACTTCCACTGAGACACTGTTGAGTCATTTTGGATAATTTAAATGCAGATCTAGTTGCTGCATTCCTAAAACCTGCCCTCCTCTTCGAGCCAACTTAACCTTCCTGCCTCAACAGGTAAGCCTCATAATTCTTTTGCCCATTATTAAGATTTTGTGGATTATTTTCTCCAATTTCATTTGATCTAATTTCCTGGACCTCAGCCTTTGAACCGCTGTGAGATGAAAAGACCAAAGATGGGTCATCCGTGTGTAAACACTCTGCAGAGTTCAATCTTCATCTGATCTAAAGTGGGTAGAGCCATTGACATCAATGGAGTAATGCTATCTTGAACATATCTGCCACTCAGATTTAGATAAATGTTCAAACCTTAGGTAACTAAATGTTATGTGGGTAGGAAGGGACTAACTTTGTCAGTGCCTTTAGTCCTGCACTGTTCTGTGTGCCTGCCAGGTCCAAAATATTCTGATTATTTTGTAACTACATATAGAATTTACAATAGAGGATAAATCAAGGTCATCACTAGGTCCTTGCAAAGGCACTGATTCAATAGGTGAAATTCTCCAGGGAGCAGCATATGCTTTCTGGCACCACAGTGCCTAGACTTTCTCCATATCTAATCTAGAGGCTTATTTCTTCCTAAATCCTAATCACATGATTGGATTAACCCTATTTTAATCTCAAGAGTGGCTCAGTTGAGTAAACATAAAATTGAGTAAACCCTCCTCTTCATCTCAGCAAAAAAGGGAAGCAAGGCCCCTGAAATTTTCCAGCATGTCTCTGAGAAATGTTAGGATCAACAAGAGCATTAATGTTTCTGCATCATCTTAAGATATCCAAACAGAAATGACCCTATTTCAGAGTCACCTTTTGCCTCTCTTCTGAATTTCATCATGAATTACAAGTAATGATTATTTTATTTAGCAGACTGATGGCCAAGCACTGTATTAAACATTTCACTCATTCAGTTCACATTATCTCCTACTGACTTAAAAGAAGCAGCACTATCCCATCTTCAGCTGTTAGCATGCCATTGTACTGTTTCACAGACTTTCTCTTTTCCCTTTCCACTGACAAGAAGGAACATTATTCTTTGTCCTTGTCCTTCTTCCTTGCCAATATTTTATGCAGGACTACCATTTCCAGGTAAAAGACCTTAGAATTCTCAAGCCATCTTGCTCTGACAAAGAAAACCATCAAGTCAGTGAGTTATTGAAGCACTGCAAAAAGGAGAAGAAAACCAATGCGGGCAGGTGCCTTTCTAGGGTTCAGACTGAAAACAGACACAGAACTGATGAGACTTTTTCAGGCACTTGCAGGTTCTTCTCCTGACTGACAGCCCCAGAATAAGCACAGCACAGGGACAGTATACTTGACAAATCTCGAACATGATGGGCCAAATCTGGACTTATGTAGAAGCCTAGTTGCCACAACAAAGCTTTAGATTTTTTTTAAAATGAAAGACATCATAGATTATATAAAACATATAGTAAAGTGGTAGCACTACTCTAAGTTAATTTCATCTATTTATTTACATCATATTCTCAGAGCAAAATGCCACTGGTGAAAATAGGTTAACGAAGGGCTGTCAATAATAACTAACAAAATGGATGCACGTAGGAAATACGAAGAGAGTATAAAAATAGATCTACATGCAAACAGGAGAGAAGTGAAATTGGAAAAGCAGCTCAGAAGGAATGAGATAAAACAAGTCTCCATTCTAACGGAATGCTGCTTCTCCTACTCCTGTCCTCCCAAACCAGATACATTTTCTGTGTCAAGTAAATTGTATGTTAGACCAGAATTAGTGCAGCTTTTCTATGAGATACACTCTTTACTGAACCAGTATGCAACAGGTAACTTGTACCACTATTCTACTGGCTTTTATTCTGACCAAGTGCATCCAAATCTGGCTTGCTTTACATTACACAAATCTGGTTTTAGTGGGAAAATTCTCACTTCTGCACAAATGCAATTTAACTGATATTTCACTTCCACTATATGTATCTTCATCCATATCTGTACTTTAAAAGGCTATTCAGATTGTCAAAGACTCTGCACGCAGCAGCAGAACAATATTACTACACATAAGGCATACCTGGGTTTGGGCACTCTTTCATCAGGAACCGGTGTCCATGTGGAGTCTGGAGACTTTTGTTCCTTGAATCTCCCAGTGAATACACTGGCAATGTCAAGCATGTCATAGGCACAGACTGCAGAGCCAGGGATGCTGCAAAGTGATATTTCCCAGAAATTGTTACTCACTCTGCAGCTATGCATAAAATCTTGAGAGAAAAACATGCTGTATAGAAGTCTTGCTGTCACAGGCTACTCAATTCTGAACTCTGTAACCTCTGAGTATTGACAGGAAAAGCCAGCTCCATGGAAAAGACTGAAATGTACCAATCAGCAGACAGCTCCTGCCAGCACAATTTGTTTCAAAGCCTCTATAGAGACAATTAATTGCAGTAATCTTGAAAAGGGAACAGAATCTGGAAAACTCTGTGTATGAATGGTAATGCATGAGGAGTAGCAGCTACTCTCATTGAAAGCCCATTATTTGGAAATTTAAGTTCTTGTAAGTCACAACATTTTCTCAGTATGAATTCTCACAGTCCCTGTCATGCCTCAAAAGTACCTTGTAGACAGATCAGAAGTTGGAGCTGATCAAACTGGAAATGCACTGCACTGTGTCATTTGCATTTCCACATTATTACTCCATCCTCTTATAGCCTCATCTCCATCAAGTTTTCCCAGTGGAAAGAAGTTAACTGTGCTCAGCAATTTGCTTAACTCAATCACTCAGTGAGGTGTAAAGAGCTTGTAGAAGCAAACACAATTGTATTTTTAGATGATAAAGTTGTAAATTTGCAAGCAAGTGCATGGTAGCATTGTCTAAACATAATTACAACCTTACCTACTTTCTTTCTGAAAAGCTTAGGATTTTCCCATGGTCACTCATTTGGAAGCATGAATTATTCATTTATCCACCTTTCATTTTTTACACATTAACTACTGTATTCATGTCTGATTTCTCTGCTTGATTTTATCAGATAAATAGCATGAACCTAACTGGCTGAAGTCTTTCAATCCTGCTTTTAGCTAGTAGGCTATTACCTACCAAAGAGAAAACGTAGCAACTGTAATACTGTTTCAGAGAATAAAGTTAAACTTATAAGGGTGCAAAAATTGATAAGGAAATGATTGTTTGAATATTAAGAGATTCTGAAATGCTTATTACTGAACGAAACAACAGGTAGGGAGACAATAATAGTACAACTTCGATCTCCACAGGCTGGGAGCTTATATGGAAGGAAACTTACTTCAAACCTTCTCACTAACGTGATACTAAACAGCGATAGTTATAAGGAGAGGCAGCCACTTGTATTTTGATGTAAGGGTCAGTTGGGGGTGTACTTGGCTGCAAACAGGACCACATCCTAAGGCACAGCAACTCCCACTTCAGATAGGTCTTGCATATTGTGAATTTAGCACTAACTCAAAAACAACCCTCCGGGCTTAGTACTTAGATGTGCAGAGAACTGTCCTCAACACATTTCAAAGTGATGGAGGGATCACTACTGAGAAGGCTGCAAAATCCTTTTCTATGGGGGATGGCAATTAGCAAGTCCACGGCACCATTAAACAATGTGGATGGAGGACTGTGGGTCACAGCCAAGCAATTTCTTATGCACTAACTACAAGCCATCACCAGCTCCCACCCTGGCTGATATCAGATTGAACTGTGGGATCTTTTCCAGATCACTTTAGGAGGACGTTCTTGTTCCAGAGATGAAAGGCATGTACTGAAGCTTTTCCTCAGAGAAGGAGGAATGAATGAGAGGTGTCCATGTCACAGGTAGGTCTGTTTTTGAGATGCCCCCAAGACTATGTGCCTTTTGTGTCATCTCCAATGCCTGGCAAAAAATGGTGCCCATAAATAGGATCTTGATTTTAGAACCATGTACTTAGATTCTAAAACACAGGATTTAAAGTAAATGATTGTTCATGACACACCACAGGAAATACTAGCGGAGTAGAAAGACATCCCAATTTATAGGTAATCTCAGGATACAGTATATTTGCTGCTGCTGATTCTCCATTTTCTTGTTTTTATTAGGACATTTTGCATAAGAAGAGATCATCTTAATTTAAAATTTTATTCCCTGTGACTTAATTTTTCTCTTGAAGTTCCCATTATTTTCACGTCAAGAGAAGTGATTAAAAAATGGAGGGCTAGGCTTACTCTCATTTGAATTCAGCTTTGTGCATGATCTTACTATGGCCAGGCTTTGACAAAAGGTGGCAAGTGTGCAGTAAAACTAGATGAATTTCAGCAATAAAATTCCCCTTTCAGCTCAAGCATTACCCTGTGAATCAGCAATATATCTTTTAATTAGACTATGAATGCTTTTCTAACTTCTCCATGAGACCTTGATAATTAAGATAGTTACTACTATAACAACTTCTGGAGAAACACATATAATGTATAACAGCAATAAATTCTTAACATGTGAACTGAAGCATTTGGAAACCACATGTACAATGAAACACAGGTGCTTGAGGAATTACTCCCCTCCCTGGTACCTCTTTGCTGTGTTACGGCTCTGCTTAAGCAAGATTGGGACTCCTGAGTGTCAATTCTGCAGCATGAAGACATGCTGATGTGGTGAGCAAAAGGAATAGTCTTTTTGTTTAGCAGAGCTCCTCCTTCCCTCTTTCTCTCAAAAAAAACATCATGGGTGCAGCTCCAGGGAGGTAAAAACTAGTAAGACTGGCTGGCTAAGCGTGAGGAGTTCAAGACATCCCTCTACGAAAATAAATTGTCAGAGAAGGAATTGACACACTTTGAAGCTCTATCCTGCCTCTGCTTCTCCTGTTCTGATCTGGAGAACTTCCTCTGCAGCCTGCAACAAGGCTGAGGTCCGTGGCTTTCCCAGGGGAGAACACAAGAGCCAATAGAGATCCATGAAACACAGAGAAATAGGCTGCAAATGAGACAGACCCAGTCCTCTCTTCGCAAGAAAGGAAAACTGTATTTTCTCTTTGTATTAACATTCTGAGACTTACACTCTGCAAAACTTCTTGGCAGCTGGTCTGAATTATTCTCACGTAAAGAAAATGTCCAAGGAACACGTCCAGATAGTAAATGTTTGAAAGCTGTTCTAAATTATCAGATATAAAATGTAGTAAGCAATGCCAGGGTATCTTAAAATGAAACACAAACTATTGGTAAGTGCACGGTACATAATAATTACATTGTATGAGCAATCGCTTCTTGGATCTTTATAGAGTAAGAAGAAACTGCAATGAAAAGCAAAACGTAAAGGAAACAAAAGATTATTGCTCCTATTACCTGTTATATGGAGTGGAGAAAGTTGCTAAAACAACATCCCGGCCATTGAAATGGATAACATCTGTAACTGCCTGCAGTATGTTGAAGTAGAAGTGTGAATCACCCGGAACTGAGCAGTTCAAACGAGCCTTGAGGAAGGAAGTCCACTGTTTTTCCAGCACTCTCTGAGATCCTCCCATATCATTTTTGCAAACCTGAGCCACCCTCGGGAAAACTACCTGGAAGCAGTATAGCAAGAATATTAGAGAAAATGAAATGTTTAACTCAAAGACTGTAGGAATTCTGCATTTGAAACATTTGAAACGACGCAGCAAGGTGCTTAATTTAATCCCATGTTTCCATAATCTGTGGCAATAAGAAACTGAGAAAATTCAGCTTTGGAACAGCATGTTATAAATGATAAGGCTGTGGCATTTAATACACAGCCATAAATCCTTCAAGAGATCTGTTCTCAACCCAAATAAAACTCATTTCCATACAGACTGCTTAGCTTTCTATTTCCCCAAACAATAGCACATTTTATATTCACAGTCTCTGCAACCCACACTGCCTGCTCCGACTCTGATATTTTCAGCACTTAAAAGCTATGCAAATCTTGCTGGGCTTTTATTCCTCCCCTTCACCTTTCTGACCTTGGTCAGTTTTTCTGACTGCTTAGTCAGAAACCTATTGTGAAATTCACAAAAATGCAGTAAATGTTTAATTATTTTTTGAAGAATGGCAGACCAAAAAATTTCTCCCCTCGATTACTCAAATTCAGATTTCTTAAAGACAAATACTGTCTTGCTTTAGAAGCCATTTTAAAGCACACTGAAGGTAGCACATTTGCCTTGTGCTTTTTATGACTGGGAAAAGAGATTCCAGCCTAAGTCACCACTGTCAGAAACCACCCTGTTTCCTTTCAAGACAGCACGATGTTTCACTCCTGCCCACCTTTTGGCTTGAGCAATAGGAAACTTCTCAAAATGATGACCCTGTCATCATGATTTATGGTTTTCATTTCAAGGTCATTCCTAATAGCACCAGTCCAAGAATAGCATATGTTTTTCTCCTCCTGAATGTCACTAAGTCATCTGAGGCAATGTTTTCACCCTTACCTTTCCCATGCTGTTGTACTCCACTGCTATTTCCCGGAAGAAGAAGTAAATATAATTGCCGTAGTCCACTGCCTGGACAAAGTATGGTTCTAGGAAAAAGACAAGACATTCCATGTGCAGCATATAGCATGCAAGCACTATGTGTGCAGAAAGAAGCATTCACATTAAGTGCTGAACATTTAAACCCCACGTGAGGCAAGCCTGTCTAGTTTGCAGAACTGAGAGGAGCTCCTGCTTGGGATGCAGCACCATTGGGGGCCAGCCTGCAGAAAACTTCTGCAAGGCTGTCAAGTGTTTGCCACTGCACATCTGCACAGCATGGTGGGGAAAGAAAGGAGAAGAGGCAGTGTGTAGTGCATGCCTGGGGCTTCAAACACAGCTCTTTATGGCCTGCAGGCTGTACGTGGAGGGAACAAGCCATGTTAGTGTTTCTGCTCATACATGTCTGCAGCAACAAGCAAAGTGGGACTGCTAATGTCAACACCTGGCAAAACATTTCTGCATGCAGAAAAAGCCTTCAAACTATGGCTTTACTCACTGTTAAGATCACTCTAAATGTTAACTATTCATAACGCCTACGTGAAGCTAAACAGCACCATTCTTAACAATGAGGGCATTTAGAGCACACATTGCCTAATTCAATGGCAGCTGCACAGTACCTAGGGAATATAAAAGGAAGGCTTTGTGCAATATTCCTATAATTTTATTTTTCACTGACGAATCTTAATGTTGCAGGTCAAGTTCTCCATCCTTCATGAAGCCCAGACTGGTACCTAATATGCTGCCAGGGAAGGGAGTGCTGCAGAAACAGTCTGAGTACACCAAGCACACTGAGCCCTGAAAATTCCAGCCTTTGCATCCATCAGCTGTAAATTGATGACTTCAGCTTGGAAAGCTCTTTAGACTATATTCAGGCCTACTATGCTCTCATTTTATGTCAAGTCCGATAGCTTGGGGTGGGGAGAAGAGGAAAAACAGATAAACAGATCAGTGTAAGAGATGCTATTTAGCTCCTCTTTCAGGAATCCAGGACTGGCTTTTCCTTGTTTTGTTTGTTTATCTACCTTTCAACCACTTTGAGTCATGTTTCACTGTCCGCAGAGTTGGGCTTTCTCCAAGGCTCCGGTATATGACTGCATCTATTGCTAGGAAGTCAGTCACTGTGGCAGAATACAGCTTTCCCTCTGGGGAGGAAGAAAAGAAGAAACAGGGTGGGGAGTGACAGGAATACTTGACAGGAATAATTACTTTTGCTCAGTAATCAAACGAGAATCTTCTTTAAGAAAACTGACGTGAAAGAATCCAAATAGGTAAATGGGATTGAACATAAATTTTTAAACAGAGGTGCGTTGTGGGAGAAGAAACCTCATGAAGCAGCTCTTCACCAGCTTAGCTAAGACATACTAATCTGCCCTATCCAATTTATCCGCAAATGTCTCTAGCTCAGTGCTCATAAATTCCGTCTGTGCATGTGAGCAAAATAAATACGGAGAAACCTCAACAGAAATTAGTTTTAACCAGGAGAGAAAAGCAGACAGGTCTCAGGGATTACCAGCTAACTCGTACTTATTTGAGTTTTTCACTCTGTGAGTACTTCTGGGCTAAAGATCACTAGTTAAAAATTCAGTGGTGTGCAGGGAGCTAAGGCAAAGCAGAGATGCGATGAAATGAAGTAGGACTGCCTGTCCATGTTTCTCTTCTAAAATGGTGTCTTAGGTCATTTCAACACGATTTATCAATTTCTCTCTCTTAAACAATGCTGGAGGACTAATGGTAAGAAGGGGACTACAGACTGGAACCCCAAGGACAATCATAAGATGCAAAACTATCTGAAAGTAAACGCATGAGCTTTATCTGCAGTTTAAATTGATACTGATGGTCAGAACTGTTCACAGGTCATGATAACCTGGTACTGTTTCCCCTTACAAGGCAGGCCTTGGAACCATGGCGGCTGGTAGGAGAACAAGTGCCACGGCATGAAGCCAGCAGCTTGAATCTCTGTTGTGTCTACAGAATATCAGAACAGCACACATCTAAGGTTTCCTGGGGCCTTGATGGTGCTTACTGCATGTGCAGAGAGTCCCTTGTGATAAGAAGCTCTTCTCACTGCACCTACAGTCAGTGTTTAATTTCAGCTTGGGATTTAAAAATCATGACTGGTTTTTGCTAGCAGGACTTTTCTGCTTGTTCTCACCCTGCAATTCCAATCACCATTTAATAACAGCCTTTTTTTTTTTTTTTTTTAGCAGGACTTGGAAAAAAAAGGAAATAAAGGCAGATACTAAAAACAATTTAAAATAGTATAAAAAGCTGCATTGTTTAGCTGTGGATGTCTGAACTCATGTTAATACAATCACACATTTATTTTTTTTCGTGACAAGTTGCAGGAGACCATGTGACTAATTACAATTCACACATATCAGCTAAAATAGCTACAAACTGCAAGAAGAGCCATATTCTTGTAAGCGTTCCCAGCAGACTCAGATGAGCTGGATTTGTGCCCTAAACTGCTCTGAAACAGCGTTCCTCTGCACTCTGAAAAGTTATCACACAGATCAGTATGTATGCTGTATCAAACCAATTTTATGAAGCTAGGAGACTTACAGGGTATATTTGGTAAGAATTTATTGTGACACTACCATTTTCAGACCGAATCATCCTAAGAGCTAGAGAATTTATTTCTATTAAAAATACTATTTTCAAATAATGTGAGGACTTCTACAGCCACAGGATGGGACTCATCTCACCCGGTTCAGCTGCATGTAGATAAATGTTTGCATTACATTGGTTATAAATGCCTTTTCTGGCCAATGTAGTGAATAAGGCATGCCTGACAGCTGAGTCAGACTGCCCCAAAGACAGCAATCTGAGACACTTGGGATGCATCTTGTTTTGAAGGTGTGCCTCTTTCTCTGTGGGTTACAAATCACCTATAATCAAAGGATTTCTAGTTTCATGATCTTCCGACTGCAATTAAGAAACTACACAGTATCACCATCATCATGACCACCATTGCTTTAAAACAAAAGGACCCACTATACACCATAGAGGGAGCAAATAATTTTTTTACAACCAGCTATAAAATCTCTCCTTTGTAAAGCAGACCATGCCAGCTCAAATGCAGTAGCAGCTAATGCAGCAATTATGCCATGGACATGATCTTTAGTGGCTCCGTATGTTCAAACTCCTACACCTCAACATTTTGGGAGGAACTGCTAAAGTACTTCCAGGTACCCAAGCCCTGCTTGCAGTACACCTACTGAATAGGACTGTGACATTATCACAGGTGGCTTCTGTATTATCTTTATCATCTAATTTTACAGCCGAATGTAAGAGAAGATCAGAATGGTTTGCACTAATAGAAGTAACTTTAGAGTTGTTAAACAGCATATCCTGTCTCTTCCTCATCAAAGTTCACATAAGCCCTGCCCCTGCCCTTCACAGAAGCAGGATGCAGTCAGAAATGGTGCCTCACTCTCGTCTGGCATTGTATTATTATGACTCCAGGAAATACTGAAATACCGAACCAAGAAACTGAGGCTTCACGCAATGCTGTTTGTGGTAGTGAAGCCAGTCCCAGACAAGGCAAGGCTTCCTGTGCGTGTGAGTTCCTTATGGCCCTTATTTTTAGTCATTATCCACTCCCTATCTGCTACCTTGGCATTTGGACTCAATGGCAAGCCTGGGCTGCAGGAAGGAAAGCAAAAGAGATTATTTCAGTCGTTCTTCTTTACCCGCGAACAATGCAACGTTGGCATGCTTTGCATCGTAGGGGCACCTGGCCATTCCACTGAACTCATCACCCAGGAACTCCAGTGTATCCACCTGAAAAACAAAAGGGAGCTCCTCAGATACGGGAGCAAGACTTCTTACCCAGGACCAGGTTAATGGTAGCTTCATTTCTGGGCAGGGAGCAAAGCCCTTTCTGCAACTGCCCTCCTGGCTATGAACGAAGGACACGACAAAAAACACAGCGTTAAACAAAATCAGGCTGAAAAATGTGCACTCAGTAAGTCAGGCACTCTCTCAGGCCTAATCACTCTCACTTTTTACACACATTTTACAAAAGTCTTCAGTCAATATTTTATCTACACACAAGCTTCCTGTTGAACTGCAGCAGGCTACGTGGTCTGTGGTTCTGGCATGGGTTCAAAATATATCCTCAACAGTGATCCAACAGAAGTGCTTTTATACACAGCAAAAGACTGCAAGCCATAGCAGTCAGAAGAAACAACACTAGGACAATTATGTGTGTGTGCATTTCTCCCCCCAAAGTCCGGAGATTCTTCTGGTCTAGTCACAAAAGCAGTGCCTCTTCATATTCAGAAGGATGCCCTCCAAGCATCAGTTGAGGCTGTGTTATGGAGAAATCCTCTTACCATCAGGCAAGAATTAACCTGTGCAGAAATTGTAAAATCTAAGGCTTAAGTGTAACTCCTGGGAGACAAATTCACCCCAAGCACTGGTAATTATACAAATACACAGATCAACCTTACAGTAAGTTCAAGAGGGTTTAGCAAGCTTTGTGGGAAAGGTACAGCTCTTACCTGCTTAAGATTCTTATACAGCAGTATTTTGGGAATAAACATCTCCCTAGCATAGTCAAGGAACATGATGAGCTCACGCTATGCGAACCACACACAGTACAGATTCACAGAGCATGAAAAATAACCCATCTGGCAGCATCAGCTACTCCCACCAGCTTCTAGGTTGAATGTTACAGCACCTAAGTCCTCTGGTGGATGATCTGTCAGCATTCGTTTTCTGTCATGTGCCTTTTCTATTCAAATCCATTGTGAAGGGAATTAGTTGTGCTTCCTTGAGGATGGAAAACACTACAGATGACAGGGAGGGGAAATGCAGTTCTGTGCAGCCTTCCCTATACTGAGCCTTGTACCACAGGCTGGTCTACACTTCCACTTTGTGCATGGAAGGATAGCCCTGTTCTCTGTTAGGCACAACTTTAGTGATCTCTCTCTGTAACCCAGTAATAGAGGAAAAGCCTGAGGAGGTGTCTAGATGACTTCCTCTGACTGCCTGGGTACGAGGCAGCTCAGTGACAGGTGAGGAATCCTGAAGGGGCCATGTGTCATGAGGAATGAAACACCTGCAGCAGGGGTCAGGAGAGTCATTTATGCCAACGAAATCTGCATTTGTGTTAAAAATCAGCTTTCTAGCAAAAGCAGCTTGAGCAGGGGCCATGAAACAATAAAATGAAACAATAAAACTGAATATCACACTAAAGCCAGGAAACCTAGTTGCACATTAGGAGCAAGATGCAAGGAGAGGAAGAAGAAGAGAGACAGAGGTTTCAAGAACATTAGCTACCTGTACCAGATGCGTGATGCAAGCTCATACATGAATAAATCTGATTCTTCCTCTAGAGACTGAAATAAAAGACTATGCTGAACTTCTCCAATGCACTTCCTAGACTATAGACAATACAGTGGCTAAACAAAGTAAATCAGCACTGCAGAAAAAGCATTCACAGTGAATACCACTACGGAAGCTGTTTTCCTCAGTGTTAATGTCTTTATACTGTTTTTCCCTTTGACAGCACTGAAGAGAATAAGAATTCTCTGCTGTGGTTTTGTCAGAAGCAGCACTAGTGAAGCTGAATTTTCTTTTTCCTGATGGATAAGAAATAACCTGTGGGATATTGCAGTGCCTGAAAAAGCAGAGCCCAGATACCAAGGCCTAACTGAACTAATTTCACAGCTACTCCAAAGACATCCGCTGATGAAGGCTGTATGACATAGGATTGCTGCAAGCCTAAAAAAATGGGAAATATTTGAATAGATGGGCTACAGAGCTGAAAGATGTACTGCTGAACAACACACTTCATGCTGTGCCAGCACTGTCACAATAAATCCAACAGCAGGAAAGGTCACAAATGAAATCTCACTAACAGATCACATACCTTGTAGTTCCTGCAAGAAGGGTTGAATGCATTTGTTCCACAGATAAACAGAGTATCTTCGTTTCTTTTTAGGAGAACCTTAATGAAATTATGACATTCATCCTGAAGAAAGATAACAGAAAGTATATAAGTTACTCTACTTGGGTGTCTGGTTTTATTTTTTCAGTGTGATCTTTCACTGTCAAGTCTAAAATGAAATTGGCTGGAAGTTACTGTGACATTCTAGGCTTTGTTTCAACTGTGTTTTACTGACAATGAGTGAGATGCAATTTATTTCTATTCTGGTGGTTAAAAATGATTATAAAGAACTGAGGATATGATTTCCATGTTGCAGTTCAGATTTTGCTGTTCACTTAGAATTTTGTTTGAACACTGTTGCTTTCCTCAGGAGTGAAAAATCTGATCATCTCACCTGTGCTGCTGTAAAACAGTCTCAGTGTATCTGCATGAAGCAGCTGGAACAAGCAGGGGAAGCTCTACGAAGAATCAGAATCAACATCTAACTCTGACCTCACGCATATTAGTTGTATGTTACACTAAGGGAAGACTAGTGTGAGAAACAGTCCTCCCTCTATGCACACTGACATGTCATATAAACTTTTCTGTAAGCCCCTACAGGAGGATGGACCACAGCACTTAGCTCTTGAGATGGTGTTAACCTAAAACGCTACACATGGCATGATGTTCAAAACCTCCAGTGCTCTAAGCTTTTTGGGATGTTGCTGTGCCTCCTGTCGTAATGCTTTATCACATTAAAAGTAAACTATTTTTTTGCAAATTAAAGCCTTCACTGGGCTGATAGAAAAAGCAATTACTAGCAAAGAAGTGAATGGCATGATCCATTCCACATCACAGACAGCAGCCTGAGATAGCAGTGAAGCAACTAAACTAAAGTGGCAGATGCAAAAGAAATGAAAATTGCCTACCTTATGTTTTCCCTTCATTCTGCATGTGTCTACATCAGCTTGTCTAGATTTCCACGTCAGTTTCTGCAAGGATCAAGAAAGAAATCAATTAGAGCCCAGAGGTTGTTGCATTTGATTTCAGAAGTAGAAGTCTCCTGGGGGAGACTAGCTGTTGAACATATACTCATTAAAAGCATTCTGCACCCTTTCTCCGTGATTAATTTGCCGTAACAATGAAAGATCAGTGATGTGAACCATTCACTTAATTTTGTGTTGCTATCTACTCATTAAACCAGAAACCTCTCCCTTTTATTTTTCTTCTTTTAAATCCTAAGGCAACTGAATTTTGCAATAGGCTAAAACTTACAAGTACTTTTCCAAAAACACTAGATGCTCTTTTCTTTTAATTTAATACTATTGCACAAATCAAAATAAACATTTATGGACTGTATATCCTGATTGGAATCTAAGTGGAGTATCTATTCCAGGACATTTCACATTAGCAAAGAAATTATAGTGAACGCAATTCTATCATTTCAAGTTAGCTAGCAGTCTGAGGGAGTGCTCTGTTTATCAAGATACTGCTGATTTCATCTACCAGCATTCTTTCTCTGGAACACTTTCAGGTAAATTCCAAAAATGCCAACCTCCTTCTTTTCTTTTTTCCAATGAATTCAATAAATGGTTTAATGTGGTAGGTTGATTAAAGATAATAAATATTTATTTAAAATGTGGCTTAAGATAGCAGTAACACCTCAGACACTACACTTCTTCTGACAATATTTCCTAGTAGTACACTGAGTCACCCTCCATTCACTAATGGCCCCAAGCTGAATAAATGAGCATGAATGTAAGAACAGTATTGCTTTTATTTCCGTAACAAGCCTATGACCTCCCTTTTTTGAAAAGCAACAAGACATAAGCTAATCTTCAGCACCTTTCATAGATGTATCAACAAATTCTCCTCTCCTACGGTGGAATCTATGCATTGGCCAAACTGATATGGTCTTCTGCTAGACCAAAGGCTATGTCTGTCAATTTTTACACTACGTGAGGAGGAGCTGAAGGGAGATTATTTCTAGAAAATTTATGCTAATTTGCAATGCAGTAATGCAGATAAAGCTCTTCTTAATTTGAATTCATCTTGCCATGGAGATAATGTGGATACATCTACAAAGTGCTGCTGTGGTAAGATTTTATTTACAGATTTATTTACAAATTTCTGTGCAAACATGTTAATAGTGTTTGCTTTTTATGATGAAAGCTTCAGTGTACGTAATTGGAATAGTATAGTCATTATATGTAGGTTGCTCCTAAAGTAATGCCTCCTGTTTTTTCCATGGAAACAACAGATACAAAGAGCACAATAAAACTGTTTGATAGAGCAAATTCTCTGCTACGAAACACCTTTTGTCAACACAGTCATCAGCAGTAAGTGATTCACATCAATTAGATGATGAAGACACTCTTCATTTGTGGCTTGACAGCTGCACTTGGCTATCTAGAACATGGCTAATCTTTCATGTCCCTGTTTGCCATTGCTGAAACACTCCATCCTCCACCTCACTGTCCTGACATCCACTGTTTGGTCTCCATTCATGTTCAGCAAGTGCTGATGAATGCCAACGGGTGCTATTTTTTCTGCATGGAGGAATTCAATTCCACACCCTTGCCCTGCACACAATTCCGTATCAGACGCCATTCTGTTAGAGTTCCCCTCTGCTGCGATTCGGCAAATGGCAACAACATGGAATGGAATATAATAATAATGGAACATGGAACATTAAATATAATGGAATATGCATGTGGCAGGGGGGTTGGAGATTCATGATCCTTGAGGTCCCTTCCAACCCAGGCCATTCTGTGATTCTGTGAATATTGGTGGGGAGGTCCAGCCTCTACTCCTACACCACCACCATCTTTGACACTGTGGGCCAATATGATAAAATAAAAAGCAGTTACTTTTGGACCATTGCCTTCTGTTTCTGGAAGATGATAAAGACTACTTACTTTGCTAAAATAAATTTCTTCTGTATGTGATGTGTCCATATCAACTGTATAAATATGGTCCCTGTAAACAAAAGCAAATGAATGCAGAGTCAAAAGGTGTAGTAAAACCATTCATTTTCCATGAGGAGACCTACTTGACAAGATAATCCATAATCCTTTCAAAAAAGGATCACAGGTCTTACCAGGGAACTTAACTGACAGCATTACCTGTTTCTCCCAGAAAAGCACTTCCATATATAAACTGTATTTCCTTTCTTTAAGAAAAAAGAGAAAAAAAAAAGGAAATTTTACAATACTTCAAAGCAAGATTATTTCCCGAAATGGATTATATGAATAACTAAAATTTTGGATGGAAGATGAGCCTTATATAATTTTATAATTTCTGCTCAATGGGACTTAGAACTAATGCCAGAATGCAGACGTTTTTTCTGTATCTGAACTCAGATGCAATCTGTGACAGCCTTTGTCACCATTCTGGGCTAGCACTCACTGTGCAATATTTAGCCATTCAGGGTTAAAAAAAGGTTAATTTTCTGTTTTTTGTTTTATTTTGTTTTTTTTTTCTAATTTCAGATGTGATAATTTGGCTGACAATATGCTAGCCAAAAGGCTGACAGCCACACAGCTCTTCCCAGGAGTCCTCTCTTCACATACCAAAACCAAACCAAACTGTAAAATGCTCCTCGCAACAAAATCCACATTTCTTGCTTGCATTTACTTTCCTCAGAGTGTTTTTCTCAGAGCATGCTTCTCCTTATAATTAGCTGCCAATTTCTCTTAGGAAAGAATAAATAGACTCAGTCACTCAGGTATAGAGATATTTTTAAACATCCTCTCCTGCTAAGCTGAGAACACAGACATTTCTATATGGAGATTAAAAAAAAAGCACAACCCACAGCACCATACTAACAGCCACATGAAATTGGGAATGAAGAGAGAAGAATACTGAGCATCACTTTTTTGTTGTCGTTGTTGTTTTGTGAAACAGCACTGACTTTTTTTGAGAATGCAGGAAGCTACGCAGATGGAGAATGGTCTGTGGCATGTGAGAGGTCTACATAGGAGTCTGCAGAGAGCAGCATACAGAATGCTTCCATTTTGGAAATTTCAGCTGTTAAGCCTGGCTTCACTTTTTTGGGTTTTGTGTAAATAGTGCTATCTCTCAAGCAAAGCAAACACAAAACACTGCCATAATAAGAATTAGCAACACTTCCCTCGCATGGAGAAAAGAGGCAGCATAGTTGCAGGGAACCTGCTTTTAAAAACCTCCTGCCTGCTATGACACTTGAAGTTATTTGCTGCATAAGATGCCAAACTGAGGAGCTGTGGGTTTTCTGCTCCTCCAGACTCTGAAAAAACAGAACTGTCATTTTCTTTCAAGATGACTTTAATGCCTCAGTTTATTATTATTATGATTTCACTGACATAGCAGTGGTCAGGGCTGGACTAAAATTACCTATTAGTGTGGTATCAGCTTCACAGACTAGCACACAGCTCCCTTTTAATGTACATCTCTGATGCTGTTACTCCTACTAGATAAAAGTGGGAACAAAGTCTCTTGAATTGCAAATTAGGTGCTGCTGGATTTCTAAAAACATTCTTCCAGCACAGCTCTTGATTGTAATGATCAGTCTTAGTTTACACGGGCTATGATTTTTTCTTTCGAAACAGGACAATTAAAAATACAGTTGGGGTATTCAAAAAGAGGCTCGAGTTGCTTAGCTCCATGCTCCATAAAACATCTCCCAGGGGGCTTACTTTCTGGTTTAAGAAACAGCTGAAAGGAAAATCATATGCTAAGTTATGGGATCATCGAAAGGAGGGTCAGTATCAGGCAAATTACCTATTACTTTCTCATGCTGCATTTGAAATAAAGCTGCTGACAATGCCAGCAGAGAAGCAAAGTGCTATGAGATGGTGGGGAAGGTTCTCCAGCCACAGACAATACAGGATTGTCCTTGCTCTCTTTTTCCCACTGCTGCCCAAATCCTGCTATCTACTAGCTGTGGTATGTGTACAGCTTGTTGCTAATTAAGTTATTCTAACACAAATTGACCTAATCCTAGAGCTTCCGTTTTTCCCACCTCCAGTCAGCAGAACTGAGTTTTGTTGCCATGGCATGGACTTGCAGAGGAAGGGAATTTAAATAATGCCACCGGCTGTGGATGACCCTTGGCCACTCAGAAAATGTGTAACAGCAAATGAGGAGGGAGCCCCGATGCTCCACAGGCTCAGTCAACTCTTTCAAACACACACATGAAGGATGACAGATAAAGTGGACAAAAGCAGCCACCACACAAGGCAGTGGGAGGAGGTGGCATGGCAAAAAAAGCTCGTATTTGCGAATGTGTGAGAGATGGCAAGATGTTAGCCTTCCCATGAGAAAAAAAGAAAACAGCTGCTCGTATACAGACTGTACCTCAGGCATCCTAGCTGCAAACCAACATGGTTTCAGGAACTTTGGTTGACTCATGTTAATTTATCTCTGTCTGATAATATGAAGTAAAGCCTTTCCAAAGTGACACAGAATTATACTTCAGAGCAGTCAACACAGAAGTCGCACACCCATATGACAGAAGTGACAAACAGACAAGAAATCACTCTCTGTCTCAGTCAGTCAGAAATAAAGTTCCACCCGAGTCTGTCCTCCTGGAGGAGGCTGCCTGCAAAGCAAAGCTATGCTTTCTAAAACAAGCAAATAAACAAGGAAAAAGAAAAAAAAAAAAGTCCACAACAACAGAAACACCAAAACAAAAACTGTCAACGTATAGCAGTTTGTTTTGACTGCTTTTCAGATAATGGTACGAATGTAAATTTATAATGACTGTATTTTGACGAGTGAAAAAATGGTATGAAAGCAAGACCTGCTACGATATCTAGGGGACTTATGTTAGCTGCAATTATCTTGCTATCAAACTCTTTGAGAAACACCTTTGATTGTGTACATGCTTGCTTCAACCTTTGTATGTATGTAACCTCTAGTTGCATTACTGCCTCTGAAAGAGATCCAATATTGCAGTTGTAAACCCTCATTCACACAATCAAAAGATAATTCATTTTCTGAAGTTTATCACTTCAGGTGAAAATTACCTTAGAATTTTAACTTAAATCACACAAGTTTCTCAGCCCAGCAGAGATTTTATTCAGTAGCATGTGGAGAGGGAAAATAACATACCAAAGGGTGCCTGAGTACCAAAGGAAAAAAATGTAAGATTTTTTTGTGCATGTTTAAGTACAAAAGAGACTACATCTTCATGATTTTTTGTAGGTCAGAAGGCCCAAGGAGTATAAGAGCATTCTCATTAAGGTAAAATGTGTCATACAAATGCATAGCTACAGAATATGTAAGAGTGCATAAATGTACACCAATACACATATTCTCCTTCCCTGTATTTTCATTTTTTATATAACCTGTGCAACAGTTTCATATCCCAAAATGCTTATGTGTGTTTTCTTGCTGTAAAGCTGGTTGCTTGGGCAGTGCAACTCTAATTGTGTCAATCTTTCATTCTGGGAACAAACTATGAGTACAACAGGGCAAAATCCACTAAAGCAGATTTACCACCTTCTCCCGGCGAATGATTTCCTCATTTAAAGGAAAACAAACAAGGAAAGCAAAGCGAAATCAGCCTTGAAAAGGAGGAAATCCTGCCACCACCTTCCAAACACTTTCAGCCCACTCTCTGCCCTTGTGTACTTGTTATCACACTGGAAGCAGCAGAAACGCCATGCCCTGAGCTGGGGCCTCACAGTGGGGTCAGCACTCCACTGCAAAGTGAACCTGAATCCCTCTTGGAGGAGAGGAACCACGGTCCTGTGTCCTACAGCCAGCTGTGGTATTCGACCTACACACTTCGCCAGGATTGAATGCAAGGAGAAAACAAGGGGTTGATCCTGGTCGCCTCTGGGAGAAGGGAGCAAGCAGTGTGACGGCCTGTCCGGGGACACCAGGAAAAAAGCAGTGTTGAAAACAACGGAAAACAAACTGGCAGTAATCAGAAGAAAAGAAAAAAGTGTTCTCTGCTTAAAAACCTCAAACTCTTCAACACTTTGGTTTCAAATCCCTATCTCTTGCTGTTGCTTTGTGGAATAAATGATATGGTAGGGGAAACTGCAAGGAAGCCAGCAGGGCATGGTATTAAGCTACAGCCCCAAACTCTGGCACATGGATGAAATGTAAAGTGAAGTTTGTGAGAAGCCTGAGGAAGCTGTATTTAGCCTGTAGGTGAGCAGTTAACAGTGCAGTTTTCAAGCAGCCAAAGAAACGACCATGTAAAAAGAGCACCAGTGACTTGGCTGCTGTACACAGGAATTACTCTCTACCACAGGCCACATCTGATCGCCCAGAAAATGGGAAGGAACTGCTTGATGAACAACAGACAGCTCCTGGACCTTACTCAGGGCTCTGAGGACAGGCTAGTGGTGAGGGGCTGCCTGTTCAGCAGCTGTTCCCTCACCCCCAGCCATCCCACCCACCACCTCTCCCATCTGCAGAAACAGCCTGTCCTTCTGTAGCTCACAGAAGGCTGCATGTTTCTGAGGAGCAGAAGGACCAGAAAAAATGAGAGGAAATAAGGTTCTCCTGGAGGGGCAGCTTTCCCAAACAGGATCTGGGTCCAAGAGCACCTGAGCTGGGCTTCTGACCCTTGCTAATCTTGGCCCTTCCTGAATTCATCCTGTTTCCATCAGGTAGTTCCCACTTGGAGATTGTCAGCCTCCTTTGCTAACAACAGGAGTGGAGAGGAAGTTACTGTTGGGTCTGTGCCAGGCAGGCAGCTGTATAAATCAGTGTAGTGCCACCGAAGCTGGTCGTGCTATGCTGAGCTACACTAGCTAAATGAGTGGCTTGACATGCAATTTATATAAAGAGGTATTTGTATCCGCACAGAGCAGCAGTCCAAAAAAATCCAAAACACCAAATTCAGTTAACCTTTCTGAGTACATCAATAGAACAGCAGCAAAAATGTGTTTCTTTTCCACCCCCAACTTTTTGTTGCTGCTTTGTGGTACTGAAAATAAGCCTAAACTAGCAACATTAAAGTTTAACGACTCTTATTCAAACATGCATTTGTGCACTAATAGAATCATTCTCTAAAACATATAACTAATTGTGTGCACAAGTGAAATTACAGAATGAAGATGAATTATCTCCTCTATGGCACCAGTCTTGCAAATTCTCTCTTCCCAGGCTCAAATGGAGGTGGAGCAATGGGAAAGAAGTCCTGAAAGGGATGGCTCAGTTTCTCACAGAACTGAGCCTCAGCTGACTGGCTAACGAGGTGTCCAATACATCTTACTAAGAGCCTGCAAACCTCTGTATGAGTGTGAGAAAATCCTAAGAATAACATGCCCAGCAGAGGAAAACTCAGAATATCCTTCCTCTTCTCCCTCCCGCTCTATGCAAAGCAAGTGAGGAGTGGTGAAGCAGAGGACTACTGACCTAGCAGCAATGTAGAGGGTTCTGTTCATGACCGTGACCAGCTGGATGTCCAGCCGGTGCCTCTGCGTGGTGTTCCGTCCCGGCTTGTGACCCACAAACACCGGATACTGTCTTGTATCTGTGGGAAGTGAAGAAGAACAAGGTTCCAGAGAAAAAGCAAAGGACAAAACAGAATCACATGCTAACATGGCAATGGCTGAAATCTGTGGTTTCTCTTCTCCCCCGGCATCACAGCCTAGGGCGGGAAGGTACTAGCACAGAGGGCTAAGGCTGCAAAGGAGAAAGTCATTTTTTAGAAGACAAGAACTGTGAATTTCTTTAGAATGTAAAGCTGCTCTAGAGCCGTTGGCACAGAGGTACATGGCACTTTCTCACAGTTTTTCTTTCACGGCTTGCAGACTTTAAATGCTGGCTCCTGGCTGCCAAAGTGTATCTAGCAGGACAAAGCAGTTTTACAGTGGCCCATCAATCATCACAGTGACTGGATTAGTAGTGGTCAAAGCAAAAGACTTGGCTCTGAGTGGTTCGAATTGTCAGCTCAGTGGGTTTCCTACAGGACTGGACTGATATTGTAAAGCAGCTGTGGGGATTTCTGAGAAACTATGGGTAACCACTACTCAGACTTCTTTAAAATTAAAAGTCACTGCATATTATTTTGGCAACCAGTCTGATACTGCAGTTCTTCTGGAAACTGAACAACAGTACTGACTGGAAGCCTTCTATTGATCTTACACTATCATCACGCCAGCTTCTTCCCCCTCTTTACTAATCAGCACAAGCATTTAGTCTCTCTCTACAATAACAGTGAATATTTTTGACCAAGAGCCACTTTGCAGTTAGGTTGCAAATGAATGCATGATCATGATGTCTAGATGCACCAACTAGGGAGCTATACAGGTAAATTCAAAGACAAGAGGACAATAAATCTCTGATGAACAACATCATAATACAGAAGTGCCACCTCTGTATATTCACAGAAGCACAGACTGGCTGAGGGACCCTTGAAGGCCATTTGGTCTAATTCCCTGTTCAAACAGAGTCACCAGAGCTGGTTGCCCAGGACCACATCCAGGCAGCTTTTGAACATGTGCAAGAAGGGAGAATCCAGACTGTCTGAGTAGCCTGTGCAGTGCTTAATCCTTACAAAGATCTGACTAGCATCAAGCCATACACGAGCCTTTTCCCCATCAATATGTTTTCCCAGAAAACTGCAGCTATTTGAGGGAGCCTGATTCTTCAGAAACTCAATTGGTGTTTTTCAGTTACTGTCCTCTAAAAGTATTCTCTCTGTCAAGTTTGGTTGAAGCACTGACTTTGGCAGCACAGCTTTGGCAGAGCACTTGAGAACATCATGTATGAGAAACTCTGTAAATCAGATGCTGAGAACTCTTTGGGAAACATATTAATAGAGTCCAGCCAGGATTTACATTCAGAAGCCCAATGTTTCTGACCAAGACGTGCAAAATGCCAACTTCTAACTTTCAGGTTCTTCCCTATTCAGTTCTGTTTCTTCCATAGGAAGTCACAGACCTAATAGAAGCTGGGCTTGCACATTCACATGCATTTCAGCACGCTGTGCTGGAGAGAATTTATCCCATGTTTCACACAAACAATCAGCGTAACAATTTGGAAGGTAAAAATGTTGCTGCTGAGAGCCTGGTGGTCACCTTAAATTAACTTCAGTAGGGTTTTCTATAGAGTAATTCTGCCTTGTTCCAGTACCATGATGTCAAAATCAAATTCCTGGTCCAAAGTAGATTTAAATATGAGTTATAATTGCTAACTTGCTGTTTCTTAGCACACTTCTACAGGCTCACATGCTAAATACTTCCTATAAAATATCTCAAATTTTGGGACTTCAGAATACTTTTCTTTGGAGTAATTACCATTGAGCTGTGGCAAATGTGAAGAATCACTTATGTCCAATCTGACTTGCATGGTAAAATCCATAGAAAGCTCTCCACCTCTTTTGTCAGCACATCTCAATACTGATTTGCAGCTGTCTGTGTGACCCTTAATTTTGGAGAGTTTGCCAACAAGTGTTGGTAAGAAAGAAGAGAGTTTCTGTTACAAAAGATACTTTGTCTTATTGAAAAGAAAAGAAAAGAAAAGAAAAGAAAAGAAAAGAAAAGAAAAGAAAAGAAAAGAAAAGAAAAGAAAAGAAAAGAAAAGAAAAGAAAAGAAAAGAAAAG